ACACACACACACACACACACACACATACACACACAACATACACACGCGCGCGCGCGCGCGCACACACACACACAGCGAGCGTGTTCACTTGGCAACGTTCGGTTTCCATCCTGGCCGACCGGCTCCCCTCGGACAACCGACCCCCGTCTCCCTCCCGTCGCGTTTAAAAAATAATTACCCACTACTGCCTACTTCCCCGCGCGGAGCCGGGAGTCCGTTTTCATACGGCAGAGAGGCGGAGAGCTGGGAATGCCCGGACTAGACGTACCGTCTAATTTTTCGCGTCCAATAAAACGGCGCGCACGTGAAAACGCGGCCTCGAACCCCCGATCAACATGTCACTCGGCTGCTGTATTTTGTAGCTTTTTACCAGCCGTACCGAGAGACCGTTCAATCACCGTGCCCGCCCCTTCAAACCGTACACGGAGCGAGTCACGATCTGCACGCGGTCCGCGAGTGTTGTTGAGAGAATAAATATTTGGAAAGTTGCAAACGTCCTGCCATTGTGCGAGATCATCGTCTTTCTTAATTATGTGCATAAAAAGTGATGTGTATGCGCGATAAATTATATCAATACTTTTTTTACATATAATCCGCGCGCGCCCGAGATCACTGAACCGAGTTCTCGATCGTATTCGTGCATGCTAGAAGCAAGGGCGAGCGGTCTTCTTATTCGCCCTTTTTGCAGTTTCAACGATAGTTTCGGCGCTTTTACAAATTCGTTAAACCAGATCTAATTTCATGCTCACCTCGCGCTTGGAATTAAGCATGTGATCGTAGTATTTTACGCTTTTGTTCGGTATTTACGTCGCAATGCGTCGCGATACGTATTAAAGTTCCTGCACGCAAAAAATGTTATCTTAAAAAAAATGTCCTGCTAAAAAAAACGATTACACGAGATTTACTTTCTTCTCCTTTTAAATAATGGTCATTTTCAATAAGTATCCCATTGATAATAGTCTTAAAATATATTGATCACAAATTTAAAAGAACGCATTATCGTGTATTTAATAGAAGAATTTATTGTTTTTACAAGAATATTATAAAACTTCATCGAGAAGAGAATTGATTTCACTCGATATAAACTAAAACAAACCAGAATTTTTATTTGAATTTAATATTCTCGATTGAAATGCTAAACTTACTGAGATTAAAAATATTTTGGATACATTTAATGTTTATGTGTGATGAATTTGCAATGTATTTGCAAATATACAAGATGTCTTTGATTAACACACCCGTTGTGTGCAGGAAGAACTCATCAAACTGAATACAAAATTCTTCTAATTGTCAAACATTTTGTATGAACTTGTGGAATATTTGAAAGAAGTAACATTTATTTAAATGTATGTATTCTTCTGTGTACGTGTACGTGCATGCGTGCGTAGTTCTCCGTCGCAGACTCGACTTGACGTCGATGACGTCAGATGTCAGAAGCAAGAAAATTCTTGCAAAATTCGTTGAAAAATGGAATTATACCCATAGAGTACGTTCGAGAAGCTTGCTACTGTGTTATCAATGCTAACACTACCAACTTTGTTCACGAAGTCAAAACAGTCTGCGAGCTCTATGAACAACAATAGAGCAGCGTTAAGCGTCTACTAATTATAATAACCGACTCCAAACCTAACCAAACAAATGTCAACAGTAACCAAAAGATATGTTTCTCTTCCCCTCTTCTTTTTTTTTCAGCAATTCTTCGCCTTTCTGAAATTGCTTGTGCAACTCACCTTCACCTTTGGACTCAAATATTCGTAATTATCATACTAGAAACTACAAAATTTGTTCTGAATATAGTGGGCCACTAGCCTATAGGCACTTGGCCGCACTTTCTTTGTAAAATTAACGTGACATGATCTTACTTTTTTAATTTATCTTTCTTTATGTCTTTACCACGTTATTTTTATGGATATTTATTAATTGTCAGAATTTTTGATTAGATGTTATTGTATACCGTTTGTAAACATATTTTAGTTCAGCGTATTTTGTGAGAATTTTTAGTATTTTCTCGCTTCTGACGTCATAAATCAAGACAACTGCGTCAAAGAAACAGGAGCTTTAAAGGGGCGCTGGATACCGACATAATGCAGCTTCCGTGTTCTGCACTGTTTTTCCATTTGGTGATATAGAATTGCAAATGGTGTTGTACAGAGCAAAAGTACAAATATCAATAAATGGCGGAGTACCCTACGTTATATAAAATCAAAAATATTTTGCATCAGAATTTTAAAAAATTTTTTACATAATATAAAGTATTTTCCCTCTCCCACCATTCTCACATTGACATTTGTGCTTTAACTCTTCGCAAACATTTGTAATTCTACACAAATGAATAGAAAATTGTGCAAAATATAAAGCTGCGTTATAACAGCAGCATCCAGCATTCACGCAAGGCAAGATAGAAAATCTGCTATCCGCGCGTCGCCGTGCAGAAATCGCGGATTTTAGTTCCCGTATAACGTTTGCATTCGGCCGCTTTGATAAACAATTTTAAAATCCATTCGGTGCGTCGCAAAATCGATTGCCATGACGAAACGGGCAAACGTTGCGCCGCGCGTCCACGCACGGGATATTAAAAAATCGTTTGCGCGATGCGGAGAAGTTTATTTCAATATATATACATGGATGCGACGCACACGATGCGGCGCGATGCGCCTCCGCCATTCGATACGTCGACGTAACGACGCGGCGCGATTACAATTCGCTTCACATTACCTCAAAATGCACATTACGGCTCGCTTATTGCGTCAAATATTAATTTCATTCGGACAGTTTTAGTCCGTGACGCGACCAAATTTCATTCAATGCGCGAGCGCACATTTTGCGCTCTGTCTTTCCCTTCCCCCGTTTACATAACGCAAAATTTATATTTCTCTTCAGTCCGTCTTGTGATAGAGACAATAATGCATTCACTCGATATTTAACCCATTCCATCGCGGAGTTAAAATATCGAAACCCACACGAAGAAAAATAATTTGCTGGCCCAGCAAGTTTTCTGCTGGTTTAGCAAAATCTTTTCGTTATTATATGGATAGTAAAAAGATTTGCTAAGAGTACTAATCATTATTTGCTGGATATAATTCGCTGAATCTACAAATTGTTTTGCTATAAGAACCATGATGGATTTATATAAGCAATTGCAGTTTTGTTTCGATAGCAAATAAATTTGCTAAGGATAGATTATTTTGCATCAATAGCAAATTGACGTGATTCTTAGAACACTCTACAAATACACTCAATAAATTTTTTTCTATCCTGGCAACGAAACTACTTCTGCTCTGATAACGAATAATTTGTAAAATTAGTTACGTCAACTAAATTTTTTGATGTCACTACAAATATGCAGTAGCAACGACAATTTTGCTAAAAGAGTAAAATTATTTTTCTCCGTGTAAGATTTATTGCTTATTATATAAACAGCAAAAAGATTTGCTAAGAGTACTAATCATTATTTGCTGAATATAATTCGCTGAATCTACAAATTGTTTTGCTATAAGAAGTATGATGGATTTATATAAGCAGTTGCAGTTTTGCTTCGATAGCAAATAAATTTGCTAAGGATAGATTATTTTGCATCAACAGCAAATAAACGTGATTCTTAGGACAAATACATTCAACAAATTTTTTTCTATTCTGGTAACAAAACTACTCTGATAATAAATAATTTGTAAAATTTGTTACGTCAACTAAATTTTTTTTGTATCACTACGAATATGCAATAGCAACGACGATTTTGTTAAAAGAGTAAAATTATTTTTCTATGTGTAGATCGTAATAAAATTAACTAATTATAGTCAATTATTCTTCTAATAGTCGACTGTGATTGGTCAATTTTATTACGACTTAAGACTTATTGCTTATTGTAGAAAGCCTGTAACCCTCTACTACCCCTCTTAACTCTGAAGTCACAATCCAGTTTCATTATTTATCTCCAATATGAATGTTGTTCCTGTTTTGACCTATGTGATATGAAAG